AGCCACAGTGCAACGAGGCTGGGCTTTTGAGGAGAGGGCAGCAAATAAGCTGGTGGCCCCACTGGTGGACCTCCTGATGGCACCTGGGTTTTGGCCATTGTGTGACACAGTGTTGGACTGGATGGGCCACTGGCCCGATCCAACATGGCTTCTCTTATGTCCTTAGGCTGCCAGGTAGGCCCCTGGGGGGAGAAACAGCCTAGCAGGTATGTGGTAGGGGCAGGGCTATAAGTAGTGGGCGGGGCTGGCCTCTGAAGTAAGAGGCAGCCCTGCTGACAGGTGCTGGGGAAAGGCCTCAGGTGTGACGCCAGATGGATGGGAGTGGGAGGAACCTGCCCAGGCCAATGAGAGCTGTCTTCTAATCCCCAGGACTTCAGGGTCACATGAGCAGGGTGGGTGTGGCCAAGAGGGCATGGCATCCCACTGGATGTTTAAAGAGGGCCTAGAAGCGGTCCAGGGATGTGGGAGCTGATTCTGCTTGGAGTCTTAGGGAGCGGAGGAGGGGATCTTGATGCTCCCTCCTCCTCCTCCTCCTCCTCCTCCTCCTCCTTCTCCTCCTCCTTCTCTTCCTCCTCCTCCTTCTCTTCCTCCTCCTCCTCCTCCTTCTTCTCCTCCTCCTTCTCCTCCTCCTCCTCCTTCTTCCTGAGGACTAGCAGGACCTATAGCAGCAGGAGCAGTCTTGATGGAGGGCCAAGCAGGGGCAGGAGGAGCCCCACGCAGGCTTTTCCATAGGGAGATGAAAGCCTGACCGGGGTCTTCTTCAGATACAGGATCGCAAATGAGACAACCCTCTTGCCTCTTTAACTGCAGTTGTCCATGACAACACAACGGTGGTTTTCCTGCCCGCGGGCTTCCCCATCCCATGTTCGCCTCCCAGCTGCTCGGGCAGTGTTGCCTTATGGCAGACCGAGAGGGTGGCCAGCTGGAGGAGAAGCCAAGGAGCTGGATGGAAAAGGCTGGGGGCTGCTTTTCTCTTCCTCCCGCCAGGATGGTTTCCCGGGTTGCAGATTGAAGACTCTGGTCATGCAGGACCTCGCCCATTGCTGAACTTTGTGAGATGCTTGAGATGAAGCAAGTCTTGAGCCCTGCAGCTTATTTGCAGGGATTTCAAGCACATTGTAATTCTAGAACAGTGGTCTTCGTACTTAAATCGTCTGATAATGCTTTTCACAGTGAACGTGTCTCTCAGACTCGGCACCTGCAGGTAATGCTTTCTGCATTGACAAAACTACTTGCATGTTACAAAGGCTCCTCTGGCATGTTTTATAACACACTCATAGTTCACACAGGATGCTGAGGGCTTGTTATAGCCTTGATGTTACCCTTTGTCAGCTGAGAATACACCTTAAAATGCATCCCTATGGCTGAACATCACACATGAAGATTGCTAGGAGATTGCGAAACTTTTTCATTACTGATCTTACAGAGCCCTGTAAGAAGAGGCTGTGACTCAATGGAAGAGCCTCTGCTTTGCATGCATCAGGTCCCAGGTTCAATCCCCGTCATCTCCAGTTTAAAAGCCCAAACAGTAGGTGCTGTGAAGGACCTCTGCCTGAGACGCTGAAGAGCCGCTGCCAATCTAATAATACTTACCTTGATGGAATGATGGTCTGGGTTCAGCATAACACAGCTTTGTGAGTGTGTCACCAGAGCAACTCCAGAAAAGCTTCCAAGTTAAAACCAAAACAAAATTCAAAGAATCATAGAATCATAGTATGTTACAGTTGGATCGTTCAGCATAACACAGCTTTGTGTGTGTGTCACCAGACCAACTGCAGAAAAGCTTCCAAGGCCCTGTTCACAAGAGGGGTTTTGGGCCGGGAGCAGGACGGAACGGGGGCGGAGCAAACAGGCGCGATCCCACGGCAACATCTGGGAATCGTTGCCTGCCCGTCCCCGATCCGTCCCTCCCACCTGAAAACCCGCACTAAAAAAGAACCACCTACCTTGGTGGTTCTTCGGATAGAGCGCCTCAAGCCGGGCCGTGGGATCGCCGGCTTGGCCCTTGCGCCAGCTCATCCTGGCCCCCGGCTGTACTGCGCATGCTTGAGCATGCGCAGTTCAACAGCCTCCCCCTCCCATCCGACTCTTCCTCCCCGGCATCTGATCGTGCCGGGGAGCGACGCGATGCAGCTCAGGGGATCCGTCGGGTTTGATTCCCCACTCCTCCACTTGCACCTGCTGATGTGACCTTGGGTCAGTCACAAGCTCTGGCACAGCTGTCCTTGAAAAAAAGCAGTTTGTGTTAGAGTTCTCTCAGCCCCACCCACCTCACAGGGTGTCTGTTGTGGGGAGGGGAAGGGGAAGGAGTTTGTAAGCCGCTCTGAGACTCCAAGTGAAGGGCGGGGTATAAATCCAATCTCTTCTTCTTCTTCTTCTTCTTCAACATACCCAACTCTTTCAGCCTTTCCTCGTAAGACTTGGATTCCAACCCTCTCACCATCCAGGTTGCCCTCTTCTGGACACACTCGAGCTTGTCAACATCCTTCCTAAAATGTGGTGCCCAAAACTGGACACAGTACTCCAGGTGAGGCCTGACCATAGCAGAATAGAGCGGAACTACCACCTCCCATGATCTGGACACAATGCTTCTGTTAATGCATCCTGAGATTGCATTAGCTTTCTTCACAGCCACATCGCACTGCAGGCTCATGTTTAGCTTGTGATCAACCATAACACCCAGATCCCTTTCACATGAGCTGCCGTCAAGCCAAGTCCCTCCCATTCTATATCCCAGTCAGAATATATTTGGAAAGCTATCATCTGAGTGAGTTCATGCTTTAACTTTTTGTAGTTCAGCTGTTCTGTTTTCCTTAAACAAAACTTATATTTGTATTCCAATTCAAAACTGTAGGGGGGGAGAATTCAGTTACTGTGAAAGTGTGTATCACTTCTGCAGCTTTTGTAGGTGAGTTATAGCACTCACTGAATTCTGTACATACTTAAATACCTTAACACAATTTCTTTCTCAAGTCATATAGAAATAGAGGTATGTATTGAGAAATCTCCCATCCAAAACAGTGCCCCAGATTCCCTGTTCTGGTTTTGGATCAAAAATAACCCCAAATGAAGCAAGGCATTC